CGTCCATTACGACACAAGCATTGTTAACAAACAGAATGTTCCTATATTGCCTGTGAGATAAATTCCTAATGCATTTCCAAATGTACATACATTCGATCATTATGCGAGGTTCGTGTGCATTGGCGTTTACGAGAAGTGGAATTGGCCGACCACAATCATACACGTCAGCCGCTTCGCTCTCGATAACACCATGTATACGTTCGCAATTATGCACGCGCGTGTAAAGTATTTATGAAGACACTTCTCATATCGCAGGATTGTTTGAAATTAATTCGAACGAGCTCTATTTGTTAATGCGTCTTCAGTTTCTGTTATAATGAGTAATGAGTACATTTAGTTCTTTGCAATCCGAATTAGAGTCGAAGCACAAAAAATGTAATATAATTCACTATTTGTTCACATTTTGTTTATGTCCTGTTCACGTTTTGTTCACATTTTGTTTACAGTTTATTTACATTTTATTCACATTTTATTCGCATATTGTTCGCACTTTGTTCATATTTTGTTCGCATATTGTTCACATTTTGTTCATATTTTATTCACATTTTCTTTTTTATTCACATTTTTTATTCTGTTCACATTCTCTCCACATTTTGTTCACAATCTATTGATACCATTCATCCCTTATTTATTGTGTTCTGCCTCGAATGTATATTTGTTTCGAACTCGTGCAAATCTCTTCGACCGTTTTAACCGAACACTTTGTACGTTCCTGTAAAAATCGGAAATCCGGTTTTCAGAAAAGTCTGCCGAACAATTGTGAAATCGCATGCCTCCGATTTCAAAGCGGCCACCGCGACCACCGATTGAGAGATTGCTTTACCATTAAGGCTGCAGAACGTGGAAAGGAAAATCGTGTCACTCTCTTTCTCTCCCTCTCTCTCTCTCTTTATCTCATTGCGATATTCAATACCGTGTTCGGGAATATACGTACGCAGAGCCGACGGTAATATGTCTCACGAGCGTGGAGGGACAAGCAACGCGAGCAGCAGCGTGCTCCTCTCTTTGTTCGTGACCGGCATGCTCGCGGATGTTTCGAGGAGGAAATATCGACTTTCCCGGATTCATTCCCGGCTACCGTCGAGGAATTGTTCTCCGCCGTTTTTTTCTTCATCTTTTTCCTTTTCCCGCCGCTGTTTGTTTTCGTTCTCTCTGTGCCCCTGTTGACACTTCACGCCGCGCGCGGGCTAATACAGCGCGATGATCTCGCTGTTACAGCGTTTTCCTTCACGCACTCGGCGAACGTAACCCGAGTGCCGCTTTTGTTGATTAAATCGTAGTTTCGCGGTTTCAGTCTCTGCCCTCTAATCTTCCTCTCTCCTAGAAATGTGGAATGACGATTACGATTAACTCTCATCCGTACCTCGTTTCTACGGCATAATCTGTCCTTTGATGTCAAATCGACACAGTGGTAATAAATGCATAAAATAGAACATTATTCGAATAATTCTTCATTCAAGTAATTCTTTATTCGAATCATTTTTTATTCGGATAATTCGAAATATTCTTTATTTAAAAATAATTCGAAAATTCTTTATTCGAATAATTCGAAATGTTCTTTATTTAAAAATAATTCGGGAAATTCTTTATTCGAATAATTCGAAATGTTCTTTATTTAAAAATAATTCGGGAAATTCTTTATTCGAATAATTCGAAATGTTCTTTATTTAAAAATAATTCGGGAAATTCTTTATTCGAATAATTCGAAATGTTCTTTATTTAAAAATAATTCGGGAAATTCTTTATTCGAATAATTCGAAATGTTNTGTGTTCTGCCTCGAATGTATATTTGTTTCGAACTCGTGCAAATCTCTTCGACCGTTTTAACCGAACACTTTGTACGTTCCTGTAAAAATCGGAAATCCGGTTTTCAGAAAAGTCTGCCGAACAATTGTGAAATCGCATGCCTCCGATTTCAAAGCGGCCACCGCGACCACCGATTGAGAGATTGCTTTACCATTAAGGCTGCAGAACGTGGAAAGGAAAATCGTGTCACTCTCTTTCTCTCCCTCTCTCTCTCTCTTTATCTCATTGCGATATTCAATACCGTGTTCGGGAATATACGTACGCAGAGCCGACGGTAATATGTCTCACGAGCGTGGAGGGACAAGCAACGCGAGCAGCAGCGTGCTCCTCTCTTTGTTCGTGACCGGCATGCTCGCGGATGTTTCGAGGAGGAAATATCGACTTTCCCGGATTCATTCCCGGCTACCGTCGAGGAATTGTTCTCCGCCGTTTTTTTCTTCATCTTTTTCCTTTTCCCGCCGCTGTTTGTTTTCGTTCTCTCTGTGCCCCTGTTGACACTTCACGCCGCGCGCGGGCTAATACAGCGCGATGATCTCGCTGTTACAGCGTTTTCCTTCACGCACTCGGCGAACGTAACCCGAGTGCCGCTTTTGTTGATTAAATCGTAGTTTCGCGGTTTCAGTCTCTGCCCTCTAATCTTCCTCTCTCCTAGAAATGTGGAATGACGATTACGATTAACTCTCATCCGTACCTCGTTTCTACGGCATAATCTGTCCTTTGATGTCAAATCGACACAGTGGTAATAAATGCATAAAATAGAACATTATTCGAATAATTCTTCATTCAAGTAATTCTTTATTCGAATCATTTTTTATTCGGATAATTCGAAATATTCTTTATTTAAAAATAATTCGAAAATTCTTTATTCGAATAATTCGAAATGTTCTTTATTTAAAAATAATTCGGGAAATTCTTTATTCGAATAATTCGAAATGTTCTTTATTTAAAAATAATTCGGGAAATTCTTTATTCGAATAATTCGAAATGTTCTTTATTTAAAAATAATTCGAAAAATTCTTTATCTGAATAGAATTAAATTGATAAATTATGAAAAACGCTTCATATCCTGTAATCTTTATTCTAATCAATTATCTTTTGTACGAAATCCTGTACGAGCATGAATTCTCATTCGAACAAAATCTCTCGAAGGATTAAAAATTGGAATTTTCTGTAACCGACGACCGCGCCGCTCTAATTTCATTCCACAAAAAGCACAGATTGCTCCGACGAAGTCTAACGGATTAAAAATTGCTGCAACATCTGGGAGATCCCCTTGATGCGATCTAATTGCATCCGTTCCCGTTGCATCCGCATTAATTTCGCGCAAGACAACAATTCGTCGTTTCCCGACCGACGCAGCATTTGTTTCTATGGAAACGAAGGGTGTTTAACATTCCATTAATATTCATAATATCCTTGCAGCATCCTACGCCATTATTATTCAGCGAGAGGTCGTAAGGTATTTGCGATTTGAAACCCATTTCCATGTAATTAAGGAAAGGGATTTTTCCGTCGTCGCTACGGCGATCGACGTCATTTATTCCACCGTTTCCCGATCACGGCGACCGTCTCATTCTTTCGGGAACATTCGTCCCGATTGTCCACGGTTCTCCGGATTGTTTCTTCTTAGGATTAATTGCTAGGACGAAGCCAGCTATCTCGACGGCACAAATGAATTAAAATTCGCGACAATGGAGGCAACAGAGACGCCCATTCAGGGTGATCGATCATTCGAGAGCGGATGGATTCCGGAGGTTTTGAAACCTCGACGTCGTTACTGCGGCGAATATTATTTCAGAAAATATTCAATTTTCGTCGACGAATTCCTCGAGTCTCGTCATTTTATCGAGGATCGCTGTCAGCCGATCGTTTAAATGGGAGTATACACAAAGAGATGCGTGCGGTGCTCTAACGAATGGATCACGGAGCTGGACCCCGAATTACCAATCATCTTCGGTGATCTCCAGACGGCCATCAGCCTGCTGGCTACATCCTCGAGAACTCCAAACTGTCTGCGGCCCTTGTGCGGCCATGCGAAATAGTCTTTCCGGATAATTTTCAGTCTTTTGACTTGGAATGTACAAGAACTGTTCGCGAGAATTTGTTCGCTTACATGGTTCTATTATTTTTAGAACGTCTAAAAAAACATTGACCGTCGCGTCGTTTCTACGGTTGGTTAATTATTCAGACAAGAAATCCATTTCGTTGTCGCTTTTTGCAAAATAACGTAGAAAAATGTACTTATCTATTGCAATGCTGAAATTGTCGAGTTTAGAATGTTCCAATATCGTTGAAGCAATTAGAGAACGTTTACCTTGGCTCTTGTGCTATCTTTATGTGTATAAAATCTTTAAGACAGGCAAGCAAACATTCGTTTCAATATCGTTTCTCGCGAAATAATATAAAAATGTATTTATTAAAATTCTAAGATGGTCTATATTAGGACATTCTAACATTGTTGAAGTAATTAAGGAACATTTATCTTTGTTCTTACGGTATCTTTATCTGTCCAAAATTAGCAAGATAGGAGATCGATAAGGTCCATTTCACTATCGTTCCTTACAAAATGATATAGAAAAATGTATCATCTACTAAAATTCTATAATGATCTATCTCTAACAATGATCTAATATTGTTGAAATAACAACAACATTTTCCGTGGTTCTGTCTTTGTTCCTATCAGTCTAAATACGTTAAGACAAGAATTTGTTAACGTTCATTTAGCTTACAAAATAATATAGAAAACTGTACTACTTACTAACCCAATAAATAAAATCCAATACGAAATATCATTTTAATACTTTTTAACCAAATGCCCAGTTAACCCTTGTTCCTAATAAACCACGATACAAAAGCCCACTGCAGCTCTAAAACGGCAGACCTCTAAACCCTTGTAGCACTCGGAAACATTTCCCTGCATTGAAGCAGCATTGTGCCGGATCGCAGCATCAGCCCTACCATTGCAGAGTCTCGAAACCGCTAATCCAAAGACCCACCCAGCGCTCGGCCGGAAAAGCGACACAGAAACCCTGGGACCCGCATCCCGAAAGAATCGTCCTCCTCGAAAACCCGGCCGAACCGAGCCACGGCAACCGAACGAGCCGCAGCCCCCTCGACAAGCCCCCTCGAGAAGCTCGACGGATCGGAGCACAGCGAGTTCTGAAAAGAGTAATCCCAGGCTAGACGAGACGTACCAGGACATCGATGGATATCTGCGCGGGTGCCTTGTTCAGCCCGACGACGGCGACGACGTAGGAGAGCGCGGTGCTGAACGCGAGGAGGGCGCATAGCGACAGCCTGAGGGGCAGGGTGGCGAACAGCAGATAGAGCAGGAGCAACAGCCAGCCTAGGCCGTCCCTAGGCGTGACCTCGGCGGACTTGAGGAACAGCTGAGCGAGTAGCTGAGCGGTGGACAGCTGCCATGCCACGTGAGGCACGACGGACCAGAGCGCGTCCTTGGCGCGAGGGTTGTGCTTGGCCCAGGCGAGGAGGCCGAGGTTCAGCACGAGGAAAACGACGGTGAGGCTTCGGGCGAGGAGCTCCTGGCCCGGCGAGGCGATCGTGTGCGCCCCGTAGAACAGGGCCGACACCAGGAAGCACTCGAGGCCGCCTCGCCTCTGCTGCAGCGACGAGGCCCTGTAGAGGGACTCGAGCTTGGCGCTGCTGAAGCTGGTCCGCAGGAGGTTCGACGGCCTGCCCGCGCTCAGGTACGAATCCTCGTTCGAGGTCTCTAGTCTGCGTGACATGGCGCCAGCGTATCGCTCACAGTCTTCGCATGTCCCCGCCACCGGCGAGCCTACGCGCATCGGAACCGTGTCGAGTCGCTTCGAGCCTGTCTCCGAGACATCGCCTCGGGTCTCTAGCCAGACCGAGGATCCGGAGGACCCTGCTCCAGGTGAGAGCTCTCTCCGCGACCTGTGCGCCCCGAAGAGCAGCCTTCCGCAGCTGCTCCGGTCCTCTATCCCCCTGCCAGGACTCTCCTGCCTGGGCTGCGCTCCTTCTGCCGGCTAGGGCGGTTTCCAAGAGTCGACGAACACCACCAGGACACGCACGCCCAGCACTCTCTCTCACGCACTCTCACACACACGGCTTTTCGGATGCGACTGCACCCGCGCGCGGGGAACTGGCCGGGTTACTACTGCCGGCGCTCTCTCCTCGCTCCTCCGAGGAGAGCCACTCTCTCTCCGGCCGCCACCTCCGTTCACCTCCTCGCCCTCGATCCCGTCCAGGCTTGCGCCATGCGAACCCCGACTCGCCACGACCCTCCGCTGCCGGGTCGATATCAACCACCACGAAATACAGCGCGCGGCGTGCGAGCACCGAGAACCGAGCTCCTCTCCACCTGCGCCCCGATTCTATCCTTCTCTTCCTTCTGCTCCTGCTCCTTCTCCTTCTCCTTCTCTTTCTCATTCAGCCCCGTCCGTGTCTACTGCCGTCTTCCTTCGACGGACTGCTGCTGTCTCTACCCTGCCGCTGCACCATCGCGGTCGCCTCCTTCTACTTTTCCAACCGAGAAGAAACCTAGCCAGCAAGTGTTAAAGGATCCACTCCTGCAGGACCGACATCGTTCCAGCCCGGAGACCCCGAATTGTGTCGCGGGGAGCGAGAAAGCGCAGCCCCGCTCCCATCGCCGCGCCCCTTTTCGAGGGTGTTTAGCGGATCGTTGAACGCGGAAGATCGTTCTATTTGGACGCGAGCTACGCGGGGGTGGGGTGTTTATTGGGCTCGCGGTGCCTCCTGTGGCTGGCCTGCCGGCCCGGTTCCTTGGGGTTGAACGGTCAAGGGAGTTCTTCTCGAGGGTGTTCGATGAATGAAGCGGCTCGCGACGGGCTCCTGGGGAGCGGAGGACTTCCGCGGATTGGGTCCCATCGAGGCGCTGGAAGTAGCGGATGACAAGGATCGCTTGTAGGTCGAACAGGCCGGAAGGTGTTCTAACGATCTGGTTAACCCTTGTTCGACATTTTTGTCAATTTGACACAGTTCTCGCGGATGCTTGTTCCGTGGAGCGTCTTATTTCTTGTACGAACCGCGAATTGTCTTTGTAAAAACTTGTCCGATCTCGAGCTAGGTTTTCATCCTCGTTGTGTTGTTGCAGAAGCAACTTCGTTTTTACAAATAGACGACTTACAAAAAACCGAAATTATTTTCGCATCAACCCAATGTTTATAGGTCCATCTTAATTTTGTATCATTGGGTCGATTTGATATTGAAGAGCAGCTTGAGCTTTAAACGTGAGAGGTGAATGAGGGTTAAATGAAATGGTTAAAGAGCGACATTGTTCATTGCTGCTGCAGCTAGAACAGGGTTCTCGAATGACGAAGACTGTTTATGGCTAGGATGGTAAAAAAAAGTATTTGACTTGATTAAAAAAGATGGCCAAAAAGCACCTAAGGTATCGATAACATGCTGCTGCAGCCAGGACAAGTCTTTCGCTGATTGAATTTCTCTTGAGATTGTACGTAAAAATGCAAATGTTGAGATTGCTCGTAACTAGAATAATTAAATGGCAACCTAAATATCTTAATGAAATGACTGAAGAAGTTCCTGGTAATTTTTTATACCCGTGCAGCTTTGATAGAGCTTTTGATATCTGGTGTTTTGCTAGGATTACAATCAGATATTATTCACTCAATTATTTGTACCTAGGCAAGAAATTTATGCCTAGCCTTCGTCTACTTTAATTAAATGAATCGCTGAGCAATCTTATGTTTTATTCGAACAACTTTACGATCTATTCTTTAGCTTGTGAATTGTCAGCAAACGATTCAAAATTAATATCTTCATATGCCCGAGAAATCTTAAAAAAATGCACCATACTCAAGCCACGTACGTTTCTGCAACGTTAACATCATTCCGTAATAAATTAAAGAAATGTCGCCAAGAATCTAGGTGTCCTACTTCGAGCAGAAACGCAGCCACGGAACGCGATTAAACGAAGTTCAGGCCCGCAGTGTTCCCATGCAAAATAGATGCGAAGCCGGGCTCGATTAACGAAGAAAAATAGAGTCTCGGTGGTTCTTAGTCGGCGGCCGCGCTGTGGGGCAAGTAACGAAGTTTACGTCAAAATCAAAGAACTTTGATAGAAATTGGTTAAAGTGATGCTATTTATTTAACTTTGCAGCTGAAACGTTGCAGGGAAAATAGAGGGGAAAAATAGAGAGGACGTAATATGGACATTTTTTAACCTGGATAATTGATGTTAAACTTGAAATATTTCGTTGGAACATGTTACATTATTTTGTTCGAATATATCAAATTTGAGATAAATTTTCGAGGTTACAAAAATGTCCACACCACATTCTCTGCGTTTTTCTCTCACTCTGCAACGGTGCAACCTTAACGTGAAGCAAAAGTCATCGAATTTGTATAGTAACTTAAGGAACGTAGATGAAGACGATCATGCTGAAGCCATAGTGTTTAATACAGATAATCTAATGTGGAAACTATTAAATATATTACATCTACATGAAACCCTATACAATTGTAATCCCGCAAGTGATCGCTAATTGCTATTAAGCAGATGCCGTTAGATAAATAATAAATTATAATATAAAAATGTTACAGCTAATAATAATAAATTACAACACATAAATATTATGTACAATAATAATAAATCATAACATATAAATCGTAATAAATAAATAAATTTAAAAAATTAAAAGGAAACAAGTCATCTCTCTTTAGCTCATTTCCATCAAAAGTTCTTTGATTCTGACACAATACTGCGTCACTTGCCACACTGTGAGACTCGTCGTTTACGTGCTATAATAAGAAAAACGTGATTCTATCTTTTCCTGGTGCGACAGCAAATGTGTTCAGTGAGTCATGCGCGAGACGATTAAAGAACACAAAGTCATCATCCGACGTTGATCATCGGATTCGCGCGTACGCGTGAAACGTCTCCGTCAGACGAGCGGAGTATTTGTTTGTCCCGGTGACTTTTCGCAGACGGATCTTTCACGAGCGAGGATCAGGAATAAAAGTAACGAGAGTGGTTCGATTGGCCAAGATAAATTCGGACCGACAGATTCGTCATCGGGGCTTATAACTATGGATGAGCCGGGCCGCTCCGAGGGACTTTCGACAGGAAATGAGCGCTCCCCGACGGCGGAACCTATCCTCAATAGTGCGAATTTTAAACCCGTCGAGACCCAACCTCGCTTACCTTCGATGGAAATCTCTGGGGGAAAAAAAAGAGAACCAGAAACTCGTCGGATCTCTCACTCTCTCTCTCTCTCTCTCTCTCTCTCTCTCTCTATTCGTCTCTCTTTCTTTGCTTAATTAATATTCGTCGGTGTTCGATAATATTGCCTCTCGAAACCTTGAATATCGAAAAAAAAACTCGAGGAACAAATGGATACAGGTTTGGTGTGCCTTCTACAAGCTCGATTCATTATTGTCCTGACAATCATCTCCTCGTTTAACATGCACGGCCTTCGTCTCGATTTCTCCTCCCTATTTTTAGTAAAATCGCGAGAGCTTATACGGAACTAGCTAAGCTAACATGATACAAAAATTTCGTAGAAAAGTAGAAACGTTGTTTGCGTTAGTGGGTCTAGGCGAATCGTGTGGGTGCGCACCTTCACCGACAGCTGTCTGATCGCTTCGTAGTTTCGCCGGCTTTTACTATTTTTACTTCATGGTTTGGTGGTCACGCCGACTGATAATCGGTCAGTTCTTTTTCTACGATTTTTACCGAGTGCACGGTCGTACTGTTATTCTGCAAAGTTATTAAAACATTGAAAAGAAAAGGCGACAAAGTCACCACTGCAATCGATGACATTTTTGTCAGCTTTTCTCTTGAACGAATCATTGTTACAAAGGACCCAATCAAAATGAACCACTCTATGCCAATACGAATCAATTTCAAATTTTTTAAATTAATTAATTAATGTTAAACAGTTAGCAATCCCTTCGAGAAGCGTGGAAGTTACTGTAATTATGTATTGTAAGAATATATTTGATTTTCTTCATATTTTGTTTAAATGCAACACTTTCATATAAGGTATAATTTAATCAAGAATATCAAAGTATTATATTCTAATGAGTTATGCTATCTCTGACGAGTCTCTAACAATATACTCACGAAAAACGGTTAACTGGTTAAAAAACGTACACTTTCTCCCCGAGTCCTTTGTAACTAATCTCTTCAAATACGAAATCATTTATTCTTCGTCCAGCTGAAACAGAATCCGCGAAACCTCTGAAATATGAAACAAAGGTCCACGGTTCGCAGCTATTTTTCCCGAAATGAAAAGTAAACCGACCGATCAGGCACTGTCGCGCGTGGGTGTACAAAATTAATCGTGCAATCGACAGGAAGATCCCGGGCTCTCAGTTCTTGACAGATTTGCCCGAATGCTTCGGTACGTCATCGGGGAGCAGATATCCGAGCTGCTTCATCTCTTCGACGACCCTCGGGACCATGCTCAGGTTCTCTATCCACTTGTAATAGGGCAGCTCCTCCCTGATCCCGCCATACTTCTTCGGCAAGTGGGTCGGATGGATGTGCTGATGAAGGCTGGCCATGTCGCTGCCGTGGAAGAAGATCTTGTTCTGCATCCGGACGTCCAGCAACGGTTTGAACACCGCGAACATCACGTCGAACACCCACGACTGATGGAGGATGTGGATCGCCTGAGTCTTCAAGGGGAACGCGGACACCATCAGCGCGATCACCATGCTGGCCACCTGTGGATCCAGCAAATAAGAATGAGACGCAGTCGTTGATACACCGCCGGTGTCTTCTATGATCATTGTACGGGCTAATTAGCGCGCCACGGGACGTTCTATGATCTCATTGGACGCATTATGATCTCAGATAGCTGTCGGGGTAATGATCGTTAGGCTGCAGATTTTGGTGCTATTGTGGATGATCAGAATCCTCGAATGGAGGTGCTGAATCGACAGATTAATAGAGTTGTGCGCATCTTGCAGAGCACATGTTATATTATATATTTTTGTTATATAATCATTTATATTATATATTTGAAGTATTAAGTTGAAGTTATCTTATTATGTTGTATTATATATATATATATATATATGACAGGTCCAACTGAATTTAGCAAATTTTTCTTAATGATCTCATTGAACAGCTTCAGCGAATATTACTGTCTTGAAAATCACCATGATGAGTCAGGTAAATATAACAATCTTTACAGAGCTACTCTGATGAGGGAAAAATTGCATGATACTTTAAAGGTCATCCTAATCAGACAGGAAAAATATAGTAGCATTTTCAGGACCACTCTGATCAGCGACGATTTCAAAAGTCACCCCTGCTGAACCAGAAAAATATAATATTCTTTATAGAGAGCTACCCTGATCGGAGAAAGTTGAATAACATTTTTAAAGTCATCCTAATCAGACAGGAAAAATACAATAGCATTTTACGGACCATCCAGATTAGCTAACAAAAATAACAGCACTTCAAAAGTCCTCCTGATGAAGCAGAAAAATATAACAGCACTTCAAGAACCACCCTGATCCGCCAAGGAAAATTACATTTTCAAAATCACTCAGATCATCTAACGAAATAGCTCTTTAAAAGTCCCCCTGATGAAGCAGAAGAAATATGACAGCTCTTGAAGAATCACGCTAACGAGCCAATAAAAATTACAGCACTCGAAGAACCACCCCAACGTCGAAGAAGAATGAAATTCCCCCTTCAAGGACCCAAGATGATCCAAGAAGATTCCGAAGTCTGTCCCGTCGACTCCGAGGCTAAGTGCTGGGGATGTTTTGCATTAACGGGCAGCTCTAGGTTCACCATGACATCATCGATGACGGGAGCAGGGCTAAGCCGCGCCGAGAAGAAAGGCCGGGCGTGGTGTCCAGGAATTTCCGAGATCGTCGGAGTTTCAAGGACACCGTTAGCGCCCTCCGCTCCTCCGTACAGGCACTCGACTGGATTTCGCGGGGGATGAATAAATGTAACAGGAGGTCGCCAGATAAAAGGAGGGACTATTAGTTTCAAGGGCATTATAAATGGTTTAAGTTTCAAGGAACGCTGAAAGTAGATCGATAACCGAGATACTCGGCCCGAGATAAATTAGGAGAGCGCCTCTCCACGCGCGGGCCGCCGCGGCACGGCGCGGCGGGGGCTGGTCTTCCTTTAATTAAACCCTCGTTATTAGCCGAACGCGGTCGAATGGAATCGGAATGCGCGTCCACCCTCTCCGGGTCAACCGTCGCCACCCCCTCGCCCCCTGTTAATCGAATATTATGTCGTTTCGTTGCCGGCTCGAAATTTCCAATTACTCCGCGCTGATCGTCCGGAATCTACGGGTATTCAATGCTAATGGATAAATCGTCGACATTGTTCTGTGTACACGGTGGCACGGAATTAAGGGATCCAGTTCACGAAGGTCGTCTGTTCTTTGCGGAAGAATTGAATCATTAACGATCAGGCTGTGTTGGAGTGACAGAGGATGTTTCAAAACATTAGCTGATTCGAATAGTAATAAAAAATATACAAAATATATAAAATATGTAAAATATATAAAATATATAAGATACATAAGATATATAAAATATATAAAATATATAAAATATATGAAATGTATGAAATATATAAAAAATATAAAATATATAAAATATATAATATATATAAAATACATAAAATACATAAAATATATAAAATATATAAAATATATAAAATATATAAAATATATAAAATATATAAAATATATAAAATATATAAAATATATAAAATATATAAAATATATAAAATATATAAAATATATAAAATATATAAAATATATAAAATATATAAAATATATAAAATATATAAAATATATAAAATATATAAAATATATAAAATATATAAAATATATAAAATATATAAAATATATAAAATATATAAAATATATAAAATATATAAAATATATAAAATATATAAAATATATAAAATATATAAAATATATAAAATATATAAAATATATAAAATATATAAAATATATAAAATATATAAAATATATAAAATATATAAAATATATAAAATATATAAAATATATAAAATATATAAAATATATAAAATATATAAAATATATAAAATATATAAAATATATAAAATATATAAAATATATAAAATATATAAAATATATAAAATATATAAAATATATAAAATATATAAAATATATAAAATATATAAAATATATAAAATATATAAAATATATAAAATATATAAAATATATAAAATATATAAAATATATAAAATATATAAAATATATAAAATATATAAAATATATAAAATATATAAAATATATAAAATATATAAAATATATAAAATATATAAAATATATAAAATATATAAAATATATAAAATATATAAAATATATAAAATATATAAAATATATAAAATATATGAAATATATGAAATATATAAAATGTATGAAATATATAAAATGTATGAAATGTATGAAATATATGAAATATATAAAATATATAAAATATATAAAGTATGTAAAATATATGAAATGTATAAAAATTTATAGAAAAGCGTACGGATGCATTTTCAATCAATTAAAATTAATAAAAAAAAATATTTCCATTCATTTCGATTACTTGTCTCTCGCAACCGATACAGAATATTTTTATTTCGCGTAAAAATCCGCAGTCTACTGATAAAGCATAGTACCTGTGGCGTGATGGTCCAGGCATGGGACATAGTGATGCCTTCAAGATCGAAAATGGCGACGCCTCCGAGGATCTGATGGCTCGGCTCCAGTACTCCCAGCTCCAGTACGATCACCGTGGCTTTAAAGATCTCCTCCACGGGATATTTTCTTGGATCCCAATTCCCCAATCGGTAAATCATCATCCTCCTGCCGCAGTGGGTCCTGTAAGCCGGCACCGTCATCACATCGTCGTCGCCGATGTGAGTCATCTTCGTTGGATTCACATCCTGATGGATCTCCGGGTGTTCGTCTTTGAAGTTGTAGTAATTCACTATCTACCGAAAGATCGAGTTAGAAGACTGAACCGATTCCTCTCGATTTCAAGTCAATGAAAAAAATATTTGACGACCTCGTTAGCCGACCTTGCAAAGTTTTACAGCTAAATCTATCATTTCGTTAGACAGTGACACTATCTGTGGCAAGATCGTGTGAATTGGAGAAACATTGGATGGAGGACAGACGTTGTAATTGAACAATTTAAAATATTTTTTACATCAGATAAATTTGGAATTTTTGCAAATTATATGTAAGTATATCTTTTTTTTTGTAAGATTCTAATTTATTTATTTATTTATTTGTTGTATAAACCGGATAGACCCACTGTTATAAAAAGTGTAATAATAGCGATTACACGAATGCGAATGTGTAATAACAATAATAAGTTTCGAAAGAGATTTGTTCAAGACAAAACTAAATGGTCAGAAAACTATTATGATCAGTTTAAAACGTTTTTAATGGCACTAATATTTTCAGAGCTGTTCCAAATCGGTTCCAACCACGGTTTGGAAGCGTGTATAAAAAGGATTCGTTAAAAGCGGTTTAAAAATGGTTTCAGAATGGCCTCAACGACGAAGAAGATGCGATCGCAAGGAGAAGATCCCGACAGAGTTCATTTATGTTTCAAGCAGCGGAGCATTCGAAGCGGTTTAAAGCTCTTTTTAGGGGCTTGATGGATATCTCCCAGTCTTTTCCACGACCCACTGAACGTAATCTTCGGTTTGATATCAAGGGAAAAAATAATAGGGTCGACGCTTTTATCGCTACAAAGGCGGACTACTGTCCGAAAGTTCGGTACAATGAACACCCTGTAGAGAAAAGGAATCAGGATCTCGCAGTTGCAAACGGATATCCGAGACAGACGAATAATTAATGTCACTGTGAAGCGGAGAGAACAGCGAGGATGAGCCGCAAAAGCGTCCTTTTCGGGCTTCCTCGGGAACGTCAGACCAATTATTCGAGCGTTCCGCTTTGTCGGGGGAGAAGTCTCGCGGATCCAGCGAAATATTAAAGCACGCTTGCTACGGGAACGTGGCCGGGTCTTTTAACAAGTATTCTGCGCTATGTTCTCATAGATGGAACAGCCTTACGGCTGCCCTTTTACAATTAACATGCTCACAAAAATTGCAGCATTGTCGAATGAATAAAAGTTGGCCAACTTTGACCGATGATAACTCCACGAAAAATTATCGTAACTTGATGACTTTTCCTTTGAAATGAAAGTTCGAAACCTCTACTTTAAGATAACGGTTCTCGATTTTGAGTTCGATATACCCTTATCACTGTAACCATTTAAATGCGACGCCATGTTTGTCGTGCCAGCGGTACACGACAAAAATGCAAGGGTGGCTTGAACGTGCTGTAACTTTGCGAAAAAATATCGCAACTACGTTTCTTTTTTTTTAATTGAAGAGAAAGAATCAGGCTATATTAAACTGGAAACAGAATCTCCGAAAAAAATTTTACGAAGTCCGTGCATTTCGCCAAACTTGGCAATTTTCAATATGAGAAACATGGTCCTTTAAAGGGTTACAGTAGTGAGAGTGCATCAAACTCAAAATCTGGACCCACTATCTTAAAATAGAGGTTCCAAGGTTTGATTTAAAAAAAAAGTCATCACCGTACGATGATTTTTCACGGAGTTATCGTCGGTCAAAGTTGGCCAATTTTTATCGAAAATTTATCTACGCTATAATCTTTTCGAGCAGTATATTTCGATGTTCTATATTAATGATTAGGAACCAAAATTCTTCTTTCATTATATCTAGCATCAAATTAATTTTTAAAAAGTCCTTCGAGTTAGTATCGTACGTTTCGTCCATTTTATCCGATAACTATACGCCTCGAAATTTCACGAACCCTTCAAATAAATTCTTATCGTTACCTTCGCTTCGGTCTCGGCTTTTCCGTTTCGTCATCGGTCTGAATCTCGCCGGATCGCCGGCGACACACATGGGAGCGCGCCGATCATCGACGATCCCCGTCAGAAGCCTTGATTATCGCTTTTCTTTCCGCAAACGGCATCGCCGAATAAATAAACAAACGCCGGGATCGTTCGCGTTCGCGGTCACACTGTTTCCCCGGATTCGAACGACCTCCTTTCGATCGACGAGGGGGTCACGTGACACTGAAAGTGAGCCGCGACCGATCGATACGTGGTATAATTGACTGCATTAAGCAATTAACGCCCGCGTCCACGATCCAGGCGTTCCGCGGAGAGCTGATCCGATCTCTAAATGGTCTTCGCTCGAACGCGGTACCCGCCGCGGCGCGGCGAGTAATTGTGCAACTGCCGGACTGCAGCCGCTCGATTAACGTCCTTTCGAAATGGAATTCTTTATTCGGAGGATCGCCGTGTGATGAATCGCGCTCGCCGCCGAAAATAGCACAGTCCTCGCCCCGGTGGAACTGCGCGAATCGTTATCCGCGATCTCTCTGATCGATCGATAGACCAACTTAATTGGCTGCGCGGTGAAACTGATACACTCCCGTATTTTATAAAAAAACGTTTTCTATTAGAAATTTGCTCGATAGGTCGATACGAACATTTCATTAGCTGCGGCGTCACGTTCAGCCATTTCCAATCGTTATCTTTCGCAAACAGTTCCCGATCGATTTTTTATTTAACGTTTTAACGATCCCATTTAATTAAATTCGATTAAATTAAATTCAATTCAATTCAATTCAATTTAATTTGATTTACTTATGATATTTACATTATTTTTCACTAACATTTTTCTGCTCCATTTTTGTTTAACCCCTCGCCGTTCCAATTTAATTTCATTAATTTATATACACGGGTAAACACCCATTTTTTCAATAACAAAACATATCTATATTTACCATATGAGCCGTTTATTTTGAAAGTGGCATAAGTCGCTTTACCGTAATGAAAAGTGGTGATTTTTTAATGTTTACACGAAATTATTTATACTGGGAAAAATATCAGTATCCTGAGATAACAGATACAAGTAAATCTTCTCGAAAGTTAGCATCCATATTTTTAAACGTGTTGAAACGCAAACCCTTAAATATATCGACTTAAAACCAAAGTGACTTATGCCACTTTCAAAATAAACGGCTCATATGTCAAAATAAAATATAAACTATGAGAGTTATTCTTACAATTATCTTTTTTTTTATCTAATTCTTAATAAATTCTTGCATAGAANTGGTCCTTTAAAGGGTTACAGTAGTGAGAGTGCATCAAACTCAAAATCTGGACCCACTATCTTAAAATAGAGGTTCCAAGGTTTGATTTAAAAAAAAAGTCATCACCGTACGATGATTTTTCACGGAGTTATCGTCGGTCAAAGTTGGCCAATTTTTATCGAAAATTTATCTACGCTATAATCTTTTCGAGCAGTATATTTCGATGTTCTATATTAATGATTAGGAACCAAAATTCTTCTTTCATTATATCTAGCATCAAATTAATTTTTAAAAAGTCCTTCGAGTTAGTATCGTACGTTTCGTCCATTTTATCCGATAACTATACGCCTCGAAATTTCACGAACCCTTCAAATAAATTCTTATCGTTACCTTCGCTTCGGTCTCGGCTTTTCCGTTTCGTCATCGGTCTGAATCTCGCCGGATCGCCGGCGACACACATGGGAGCGCGCCGATCATCGACGATCCCCGTCAGAAGCCTTGATTATCGCTTTTCTTTCCGCAAACGGCATCGCCGAATAAATAAACAAACGCCGGGATCGTTCGCGTTCGCGGTCACACTGTTTCCCCGGATTCGAACGACCTCCTTTCGATCGACGAGGGGGTCACGTGACACTGAAAGTGAGCCGCGACCGATCGATACGTGGTATAATTGACTGCATTAAGCAATTAACGCCCGCGTCCACGATCCAGGCGTTCCGCGGAGAGCTGATCCGATCTCTAAATGGTCTTCGCTCGAACGCGGTACCCGCCGCGGCGCGGCGAGTAATTGTGCAACTGCCGGACTGCAGCCGCTCGATTAACGTCCTTTCGAAATGGAATTCTTTATTCGGAGGATCGCCGTGTGATGAATCGCGCTCGCCGCCGAAAATAGCACAGTCCTCGCCCCGGTGGAACTGCGCGAATCGTTATCCGCGATCTCTCTGATCGATCGATAGACCAACTTAATTGGCTGCGCGGTGAAACTGATACACTCCCGTATTTTATAAAAAAACGTTTTCTATTAGAAATTTGCTCGATAGGTCGATACGAACATTTCATTAGCTGCGGCGTCACGTTCAGCCATTTCCAATCGTTATCTTTCGCAAACAGTTCCCGATCGATTTTTTATTTAACGTTTTAACGATCCCATTTAATTAAATTCGATTAAATTAAATTCAATTCAATTCAATTCAATTTAATTTGATTTACTTATGATATTTACATTATTTTTCACTAACATTTTTCTGCTCCATTTTTGTTTAACCCCTCGCCGTTCCAATTTAATTTCATTAATTTATATACACGGGTAAACACCCATTTTTTCAATAACAAAACATATCTATATTTACCATATGAGCCGTTTATTTTGAAAGTGGCATAAGTCGCTTTACCGTAATGAAAAGTGGTGATTTTTTAATGTTTACACGAAATTATTTATACTGGGAAAAATATCAGTATCCTGAGATAACAGATACAAGTAAATCTTCTCGAAAGTTAGCATCCATATTTTTAAACGTGTTGAAACGCAAACCCTTAAATATATCGACTTAAAACCAAAGTGACTTATGCCACTTTCAAAATAAACGGCTCATATGTCAAAATAAAATATAAACTATGAGAGTTATTCTTACAATTATCTTTTTTTTTATCTAATTCTTAATAAATTCTTGCATAGAATAATCTATTCGCGTAAAGTTCAATTAGCGTGGTGTGAATATTATTAGATAATATAGCGAAAGATTTACTTATAATTCTAAGATAAAATTGGATCATTCCAATCTTGCTCCTCAATCTGAAATTGAAATGGGTGTTTACAGTTTCCGGCTCGTTTTAATTTAACGAGTATATAAATAAGAGACTTTAATTACCTCGGTCGCTACGTCTTCCTCAATTTTTACCCTTCAACAGCACCTCGAAACCGGCACAAATAATTTCCTCAACCCAGTACTTTGCGAAGATTAAAGTCAACTGAAAATTCAATCTGGAGACCAAAGAAAGAAGATCGGCAACGCGTCTGCTACTTAAAACCGTGCTCGTATAAACATTTCTGAAACGGCGATCGCTTCCTGAACGTCTCTAGAGCAACAAAAATCTCGAACACCTCGGGAAAATGTACAGTGAGATTCCAAAGGAAACTGTCTACAATGCCTATAAATCGAATGAAAATCACCGGCGGGATAGAGAATTTGAGCAACAAAGCTGAGAAACACTCTGCAATAGTGTGCCAACTAAGCAAAATATATGATCTCAGCTTGCTCCAAGGTCTGGCGTTTTTTTTTTCACCAATGATAACACGAAGCCCGGCCTAAGAATTTGAATTACAAATTCGCGGTGAGTAAAGTTTGCAACAACCAGCTGCGGAGCCGCGATCTCCGCTCCCTGTCCTCTATGATTACCAAGCAAAAATAGATCTTAATGCTGATCGAAGGAAGCAAAGGGGAACGTTGACGATGATTTTTTTTGTGCCCCCCTCCCCCTCCCTCTCCCACGGTCGACGTTGATAGGAGAGACCGAGCGGGGAAAGCGGGACGACGGTGATTCGAACTCGACAAAACTGCATTTTCGATCGCTAGTCCGCCAACTTGGTTCGCCTTGGCATGGTTGCGTAACTATTGCAACTGGTCTGACTCGACGAATCGTGCTGCGTAGCCGCCGGATTGCGAACGATCCGGTCGGCCACGGATCCAGAGAGCACACAATCCCGATAAACTTTGCTTTTTCTTTCGATATTCGATTCACGCGCCGGTACGTGATCGAACAGTCCGCGATCGACAATTTCAGCCGTAATCATTCATTAATCGGCGGATCGATGAAGAAATTCTGCCGGGCTCCTGCCAAGAAAATCGAGAGCACGCGTATTTCACTCGACGATTTCATTTTATCGGTGTTTCATCGATTTCAGAATCGTTCTTGCGGTTCTAGAAACTCTTTTTTCACAATGATTCTCGTTTATGTTAGATCACAGTGTAACACTAAATGTATCGTCGTCGGTCGAATGACCGACCGGTTTCACGTTTTTTATTTTTTATTTATTCTTTTATGTAGTTATCCTTTTTATTCATATTATTTACAATCCTTTAAATTATAAAGTTGCTACTATTGAATATCGTAGAATATATTTCTTTATTCAGGCACATGCTATTATAAAAACTGAGAACAATTCACATAAATTCAATCTTATAATTTCCGTAAGGAAATTTCTATTTTTAGATCTTGGTACATTTAGTGCTAAAAGCTAATTTACTGCAGCAAAACTGCAAGGTCTAAGTATGTTTTGTTTGATCCAAAAATTCATTTTCGAGCCTGATCAAAGCTGACCTCAAAAGTCCTGAATATTGTAAAAATATTTCTATTTGATCGTTGGATCGAATCTTAGAACAATAACAGAAAGAGTTCATTTTGGCAGTGCACAGGACATGCAATTTGATACTAAGGATTGCGAATTATGGGAGCACCGAATGGGAACAAAACGTTATAGCTGAAATTCTCAGTGACCAGAAGATTCGCGTGCGACTTAATTGCATGGTTCCAGGATTTTTGCGAAACGGCCGGCTTCCAATTATAGTTGTAATTTCGTTGTAACTTTCGCACGGCCGTTACAGCATTCGGCCGAGCGGCTGGTAGCATTAATCTCGGAGTTGTTTACAGTGTTACAACATTCGCGAATACAATTAGAGAGAGAGAGAGAGAGAGAGAGAGACGGAGAAGCGGTAGAACGAAGTGTCATGCAATGATGACGAGGAATCTCTAGATTGTAGAAAAAGGAATCGTCGCGACGATTCAAAGCGAACAACAAGAACCGCCTGGAAAAAGAGCACAGGTGGCTTTTGAAAAATGAACCGTAATCGATACGATTGAAATGTGTCGGGACTGCATGCAAGTTACTGCACCGTTTCTAAAGTCACCGTACATCATCCTCGGTTTTTTCTCCTCGAGGAAACATAGTCTCGCTCGAATTGGCGGGCATGCACTCTTCCGGAACCGTTTAAGTGCATCATGCGTGTCAGTCAAGTATCGTGATTAGGCTTTTTGTGTCGAATATTCACTGTTATTACGCGGCGAATCTGTCAAAATATAGAGCAACAAAATAGGACGGCGTTTTTATGCAGAAAATTTATCTCCGAGCGATTTACACTTCCTCTCCCCCGAAACAACCTGATTCTACCCAGAAATAGTTTTGGTACAAGGAAATCATAATGATTTTACCCAGAAATAGTTTTCGCACAAAGAAATCATGATGATTCTAGCCAGAAACATTTTTAGTACAAAGAAATCGTAACGATTCTATCCAATAGTATTTGTTTACATAAAAGAAATCGTAACGATTCTACCTATAGAAGGAATTCAGCAGTCGGAGCAATTTAATTTACCACCGACACTCGCGTTAATTTGTACCCATTAATATATAAGATAATATCTCTTTGAAATTTCAGACAAATAAAATCGAAAACGGCACGAAGAAATCGCAACGATTCTAGCCAGAAAGAATTAAGCATTCGAATCGATTTAATTTACTATCGCCAATCGAGTTAATTTGGGCGCATCAATTTGTTACGAGAAAGAGATACTGTCTACAAAATACGTAACAAATAATATTGTGTACAAAAATATATATACTTGTAATCATTACAATCCTTCGCCAAAACAAGAACCTTCGTAAACAAAAGTAATAAGAATCCAACAATTAGATCAATTTAAATGCACCGGTCAAAGCAACGCATATAAATATTTTATCAACAAATTAGAGATATCGTGATAGCCTATCATTGTTGTATACAAAAATTCCGAGAAAATGGATAGAGCAATAGAACTAAGAACTATCTGTCATGGTCTGTCCGAAAAATCTGCAAAAATGCTAAGATGCACAAAGAAGCCGCGGTAAACGATTCAGACGGAAGAGGATCCACAGACGAACCCGACCGCAACTTACCAATCGATGGGCCCGGTTGACGTTGAAGTTCCTCACCCTGAGGAACCTGATCAGGAAGTCGTCGTCCATCCTGTGCGGCTGGCACTCGCCCCTCTCTGTCAAGCAGAACGTCCAGTTAGAGGACACACCCCCAGCGATCCGCCAACGATCGTTCTAACCATAGAAATTACCGTAGATCATGTCGCGGAGTTCCTGAATGGTCTGACACTTGACCTCCTCGGTCTCGCCCAGCTCTCTTCTGGCGTACTCCATCACTTCCGGCGAGGGCTCGCCCAGGTCCAGGCAGACCTCCTCGTCGTCGGGAAGCTCCTGCTCCTGGTCACCGGGTTCAGGCATCCCGTTCAGCTCGTCCTGCCTGCGTTTCCTCGCATCGATCTTCTCCCGGAGCAGATCCTCGCCGATGATCTCGTACTCGGAGCCGTTGTTGCCCGGGGCCACGGGCTCTAGGGCCGCGTTCTCGTCACCCTGCGGCATCGTGCACCCCAACGTCATCCACCGCGGATCGTGAGAGCTAGCCTAAGCCTCCACTCGCGGCACTGTATCGCTCTTAACTCGCCGACTCGGTCCACGAGCACGCGGAATCGGCAAACTTCTGCGTTGGACGCGGTCTCATGCGGCTCTAGCGACAGTCGCCAACGCGCGCGGGCAACCAGCCTACCACCAACTATCAAACACCGGAGGGAACTGGTTTCGCTTTTGTCTTCTGCCTCCCGGCCTTCTCCGTGATCTATGCTTCGCCGAGCTTAACCGAACCTTTTCTTTTTCTTTTCCCTCTGCCGCCGCTGCTGACTTCGCGCCGCTTCGAATCGCCGCCTGAAGGGGTGGCTAACTTTTCACGCGAGAGCTTAACGCTTCGTCCTCTTCCGATCGGTTTACCTCCGGGGATGGTCGACTGCGATTTTTGACGCGAGGCTGTTCGAACTTCCGCGGGGTTTGGGCTGCACCTTCCGGGACGAGTTTGAAGATCGTTCGGGGGGACAGCTAACTTTAGGAAAGGGGACCGATTGGGACCATTAAAGAACTATGTATTTGTCGTCTAAAAGGTCTTTTAGAACTGCTGGTTCGTAGATTATTTTGTGGATCGTTATAAAGAGAGATGACCTCGCAGATCTGTTACTATTGTTCACCAAAGAATATCGTAATTTTTAAGCCGACTTCGTCGACCGCTCTAGAGCGTAGCTAACCGTAAAATCAGTAAAGAAGTAGCCCGATGAATTTTCTCCTTTTCCTTGATAGATCTTTTCGTACCGTTTGAACAGTAGCTCTACGGAAAATTCTTCTGATTGCACGAAGAGTAACGAATTTGACAAAAGAACTATTCTCCCTTCTTGAATTACTAAATTTTTTACGTTTCAGCTATTGACGATGAGAAGCTTCTGCAATATTCGTCCTCGGGGGCTTTCGAAAATTTCGGTTCTTACCTCTTTCAGAAAATAGAAACACAGAAAGAACTTTTTAAGAATTTCTCAGGTATGCGCACCATCCGGTTATAGAAAGAGTTGTTTTCGCCGTCGGCTGATCGTGCAAAAACAGCTATAATCGTGCAGAAATTGTGAGATAAGCGTGTCTCCTCTTTTTCTCGGCGTCCGTGCGTTATTAACGAGGCTCTCGGCGCTGAGAGAACGTGATCCTGCGGCGTGGCGACACGCACACATGAGAGGATCCTCCTTCCGGTTCCCGTTTGCCGATATCTCTTTCGTTCGTTCAGCGAACGTGTCGAACCCGCAAAGTTTCCACCGGCTATGCAGCTATTCGCGCGGCTCGAGGACAATGCAGCGGCGCCTTTCCCCCGTAAAAATGTGATTCGCAAGGCCAGCCGATTTACGAGCTGTCCGCTGTTTCGCCGGTGCACGCTTCTTTCAGCTGTTTTGTCAAATTCGGTGACTCATCGGGACTGAAATTGTTCTTCCACGCTTTCGCGTTGTTCTGCAAATTTTTCCGTTCACTTCGAAAACTCCGCCCAATTTTTATGTAGTACGTTAACTATGTCATATGCATCATTTTGTCGATGTTCTGACGACTTTTACATGCAAGCAACTCTCGTCTGTATTCCCATTATTTTTAGAATGTTGCAATTGTCTTAGTGCGTCGCTCGAATTTGCTCTACTATTAACAATACGCAGCCATTTCTTTCAAAAAATCGTTGACAGTCCGATACCAGTTCAGCGCAATTAACTTTCAGAATCTGCATACGATCATCGAGAAATTGCGACGGAGTGTTCGATATTCTAAATAATATTGAATATTGTATTGATAAGCGACGAGTCAAAATTAATTTCCTATCGACACAATCAGCTATAGCGAACGCCAATCAATCATATGATTCTCAAAATATTCACAGAACATTTCCAATTAAGTGGCCATCGCGTCGAAACGTTATCAGCGAAAACACGATTAAGAAACTCAATACAAAATCGAACGATGAAATGAATTAAAAAACAGCCTCTATCTTCAAAAAAATATTTCCTATATTTATGCTAAAAAAAAATAATATTCTAAAAAGTATTCCAAAGTATAAAAAATATTCTAATATTCTAAAAAAAACTCTCAATTTTCCACGAATCAGCAACTACTTCTTTAACCCTCGGACGACAGGACCGTTTTCACAACTGTACTAGCGATGATGTTTTAAAACAATTCTGAGCATCGTTCAGTAATTTTTCCAAACATTTTTTTTGGTACAGATTTCTTGCAGAAATTCGATTTAATTACCGATAAATGTGTAATCAAGTGAACGATTTGAACATTCCGGGTGAAAATCGACACAGCCACCGACTTCCGAGTGTTGAAGAAAGACCAATGGGAATTTTCAGCCGACTGAAAGAATGCTGCTGAACAGTGGTACCAGCGGCCGAGTCGAAAACAAATCTGCGGGTGGAAAATCGTGGGGACCGTTCCACAGAAAACGCGGGAACTCTCGTGTTTCCTTTGTCTCGGCACTTTCTTCGAGCAGAGAGGACTTCCGGCGGTCGACAGCCGTAGTCCCGTTGGCGCACAACTTTTTCTCGGATGGACGAAAGCGGTGGGCCTTCAGCCTTCGGCGCGAACGAAAAAAAAGGAAGAAGAACAACGTCGCGAGAAAAACGGTTCGATAGAGACACCGTGGTCGCGGGACCGCCAGTGCAGCGATGCCGGTCGGTGATGCAACTAACTGGCCGCAACTACTGGGCCCGGCCTCGATGCACCGCATCGGAGCGAAATGCACCGCGGTTTCCCTCTTACCTGCCCGCCCTCGACTTTTGAAGTCACCTTACGTCACGACTACGGCGAATTTCCCCTGGTTTCAGCGGTCTCAGGGTCACCGATCCCTTCCATCATCTTTCGCACAACAATCTCAATTAAACACCGTCGATATTGCGTGTACGAATTAATTCGAACACGGCTTCTTCGTGGATTTCTTGCACGAGATGCAATCGGTATTGCATCTGCAGTATTTACTTACGCAATTTTCAATTTTTAACAGTGAACCTACACACCGCCGGTCAAGAGACTGGTTTCAGTAAATTGTCTCCATTAAGCTGTCATTAAGCTGCCATTAGGCTGTCATTCAGTAAGCTGTCTCCATTAAGAATTGTTAAATATATTTTTTTAATCAAGCACACACTGTTATAAAAATTGTAAAAATAACCAGCGAGTTCAATTAACTGTTTTCGACGAGGATATACTCGTCATGAAGAACAATAACAACAGTTTGTGTTGTGACGTTAAGAAATATAACTTCGATGTTCGATATTAGATGATATATTTTGCAAAAATATTGCATTTAAACAAGATATGACGAAAATCAATCATATACAGTATAATTACTAGATTTTATGCAATTATAGGAAAAATGTAAAGGAGAAACGTATAATAATGGACAAAAAATTAAAAGAAAAAATTATTTAAGAGAGAAATAAGATAATTGGCTTCTATGTCCTGCAACTGATGCAGACATTTTTATTTTGCATAAAGGTCCGCAGTCTAATGACTACTGAAACTTGCACAATTTCCAAAGCGATTGCAACAGCAAACTGGTTTAGAGTTTGCTGTTAATAACCTCCTACGCAGACAACAAATTTGTTCAGACATATAGCTAAGTATCGTTAGCAGAGTATTAGAATTCAATTTCTAACATTAATTAAGAACGTACGTATTTTGATTTTGAAACAGTTATTAAAATAGAAAGGTTTTGAGATATTTAGTTATTTTGATGGAGAAATCGCGCCTAGTCGCCATGAATACGGGTCTTGTTAAAAAGCAAACTTGGTAATGCCCGATCGTTCTACGGTTGACGTGCACGCTAGAGAGTTGAGTTCAATAGAGCTCTAATTAATATAGCGAACGCGAAGAATTGATTTGTACATCCACCGGATTACGAAATCTCCATGCAGGTTGCAAAATCCGAATAGAATGTAGTTTGAGGGATTAGAATGTCGGGTTCACTCGCATTTTCCTCGCTAGATACTAGAATTCGTGATAGAGGTGCTGCTGTGAGCCGTGATTGATGTAATTTCTGACTTGTACAAGTCGTCGTCTGAATTCTATGACGAGCATTGACTGCGTGACTGACATTACCATGGTGGGAAAATACTATGCAGGGATTGTGTCTCTTTCTCTCTCGAGCTTCTATACTCGGTGCTAACTAAATATTTGTAATTTTTCTTTGCACTGCACTTTCACTTTGCTGGAGTTTTTTTCCCGTTGCAGTTGCGAAAGGGACTCGCGGCGGCCGAATAATAATTGTTTGTTTACTACATATTCCGCCCACAATGATGAAGACTTTCTAAAATGTAGATAATCTTCGGACCAGACTATTTATCATGCTTAAGAAGTTAACGAATTCGCGAGCGGCGAATATTTTTCGTGAAAATATAACTGGATATGTTTGGGATTGATTCATGATGATAAATTTACCAATTTAGTTTTTGATACATTTTTTCAGATTCCCTTTCTAGAGGCGTCGGTTTTTCTAAATGACAGGTATACTATAATTTAATAAATTATTATTATCATCGCAAAACATTTTATTAAACCGAATAAATAAAGTGTATTCACCTTCGAGCTACGATTTCTTCTATAGCTGAGATAATTAATACTTGTGTTTGTCACTATTAAATCCTACGCGACAAAAAGGTTAAAGGAATATGTCAGAATTTCGATTAATCTCGATGAAATCGAAGCATTTTATTTCGACGAAATAGAAGTATTTCGTTTCGATAAAATCGAAGCACTTTGTATAATCAAATTTTAATCGAAGAATTAAATTGCATGTCCACGATAGGATATCCTAATAAAATCAAGATGTAAATCAAGATGTAGCAGATTAACGTACAGATTCGCGTTCAAATCTGAACAAATAATTCCGTCAGCCACCTATTGGTGACACGGCAGTCAAAGTGTTAAACCGTTGAACTGTAACCGATTTGCCATCCGTTTCCGCTCGCGTTCAAGTTCCTCGGATCACGGAAATCATGCTTGTTATGCCAGGCCGAGTATCGAGGCGCCGATGATGCCAGACGACCGGAGTGGCCGTCAAACTGCTCGAGAAGAAACTGCAGAGACGGTTCCCGGCGGTAGCGAACACTAATGGAGAAAGTTTCGTGGGCTAGACGTAAACGCACCGTGGCCTGCATAAATGCATTAATTAACCGACACCCGAGAAACATTCCCAAGGTCAGCCGGGTGAAGCGTTGCGGCTCCATTCTCCGGCATCGTTGCTTGGCCAGCCTCGGAGTCCGTCGAACGATCCGTTTCGATCCACCGAGCCTAACGTTATCGTTATCATCGAGACCATTATTGGCTCGCACGAATCCGTTCCAAAGATAACTATTAATTTCGCGGCTACGTTAATTACCACAGATATCATTGTAGAACGCTTTTCAGCTCGGTATGCAAAGGCTTTGCGGCGAAACGGGCGATCTTTTCGAGAGTTTCTGCCGCGGGATAAATCGCGCTAATTTACGGTTCCCCTGTCTCGGCGCATCGACGATCTTCCTTCGGAATTTCTAGGATTAATTAGCGCCCGGGTGAACGCTCCATGGAATTTTTTGCAGCAGACGCATCGTTGCTGCTATCGCGGAAATCAGTTTCTGATGTCCGATAAAAGGACTGCGGATTTGATGACAAAAATTAGTTGATGAGACGCAAAACACGGTGACAGCGTTGGTAGAGTTTAACAATTCGATTGCTTCGGTTGTAACTGGACTGCGGATTTGTTGCATTTATGGTAAAAATGACAAACATTTCGAATAGTGGAAATATTCAAACTTATTAAAACTATTTCAACTTGTTAAAGTTATTACTGAAAGAAATCGGACTTGGCTCTTACATTTTGCAATTGATGTAGTAGACAATTTTTATTTCGAATAAACATCCACAGTCAGAATTACTCAAGACAGAAATAAAAGTCTCTTCAGTTCCTGTTTCTTGCAATCGTTGCACAACATTTTTATATTGCACGTAGATCCGCAGTCTACAGTAGATCTCCGTTTATGCGAACGAAATTTTCGTCGTTGCACGGTTTTGTGAATGCTGGCTGAGCTCCTATTAACTGAACCAGTACCGAACTCTAATTATACGGAAGTCAATTATATGATGGTCCCTCGGCTATTGCCATAATCCGTGGACTAAGCAAGACGTATGATTGGATCCACTTATCTGAACGTGAACTGCAGTTATTCGAACGCAAAGTTGCACGAAGTGGGGGCAGTCGGTCGACTCCTATTATGTGAACTGCTCGTATCACGGCGGGTTCGCATAAATGGAGTTCTACTGTACCGAGTAGACTGCGAAACTTTACGCATTTATGGCACGTGCGGATTTTTAAAACGCGAGAAGACGTATAAAGTTAGCAAGGTTTAATAGTATTTTCACTTCCTCATTGCAACGAGTAGTTTATCGATTCAGATAGCGAACTTTTCTATGATTATAATTTTTGCAAAATAACGTGCGACAACGGGAAATTGAACTCCACTTGTCTCCATAAGAACTAAATGAACTATCTCCATAGAACTCCATTTATGAGAACGAAATGACAAGTAAATAATTTGATACACTATTATTATGAAACATGTTATTGAATCGAATTAATAAGAGCTTGGTGGAACATGTAAAAATTTCGATTAATTTCAGTAAATCAAAGAATTTTATTTCGACAAAATCAAGGTATTTTATTTCGATAAAATCAAAGTATTTTATTTAATCAAATTATAATTGAGGAGTTAAATTATATGCCAAC